GGAAAGAGTTTTGCTGGTTTTCTTACACTTGTGCTCAGGGCTGTGATTTTAGGTCAGGGAGGGAAGGGGGAGGGAAAAAAAAGGAAAGTTATCTTTAGCTTTCCATCACATTTAATTGGCCTGTGGAAAAAGCAGAGGTTTCGTTTAAGATTTATAAACAAATACACCATTATGTTTCTCATTAGTTGGAAGAATACCTGTATAAGTGGTAGCTGTCAGATACAATAAGCACCCCCTCCTTTTTTGCTTATATAATAATCCCAGCTTTCAAAAGACTAATCACTACACGCTGATCTACAAAGCATCTTATTTCCTCATCAAATTTCCTTGCTGGGCTTAGCCATGCTTGTCAACTTCCCAGGTCCCTTTTTCAATAACTGGTTTATTCTTAGCATCTTGCCAAGAAGCATTCCTAGGAGTAAACCACGGAAGAATGAAGTTCTAATTTCTTTATCTCACTCAAGGAGAGGTTTCTGCTCATGCTCATGGGAAAGGTCACAGGTAATTTTGGCTGCTAGTTCGCTTTAGAAGAGCAGGCATGTACAGCACATTGGGGTCCTTTGTCTGAGAATTCAGATGACCACCAAAGATGACAAGAAAGAGAAAGAGAGAGAAAGACAGAGAGAGAAGAAGAGAGGAAGGAAGGAGTGAGCAGGCAAGCTAATGTGCAGTATAAGTAAGCAGGTTATTTTAATCCTAGAGTAAGTAGCCTTTGTTCAGTTTTAGCTTGGAGTCACATTTAAAAGATTCTTATTTTCTAAGCTTGTTTCCCTCAAAATCCACGGGGTTAAAACTAAAGATGCCTGCAGACAATGTTATTTTTTAAACTGCTTTCAATGCCTTTTCGATCAGGCCTTGTTTTAAAAAAAATAAAAATAAAAATGAGAGTTTAGTTCTTATAAAAAGCCCCAATTTTATAACAAGTCTTCTCCTTTTCTTTATCCACATGCAACCAAACTTTTATGTTGGGCACTAATTGCAGCATTTGCTTACAGGGTCAACATAGAGCTCAAAGATGAAAACTGATCTACTTTCTGACCTCTAGATGGGGTCTCTCTGGTCTAACTCTGCTGAGATCCTGAAAGGAGAATCAGGGCAAACCCCATACAATCCTCAGTCTGAACTCCACACTGCATAGAAATTAGGCACTAGGTAGGCATACTGACAAACAATGGTAATGAATCCATTCTAAAGACTACAGTTTCCAGTGCAGCCATTAAAGCACCATTCACTAGCACCACTTTCTTTATACATTTAAAAAGAAATACACTGGGTGGAAAAAATACATTGCTAAAGATTTAGAGTGAAATGAAATATTTCTTTTACATTCTCAGGAAAAACTAAATAAATTCTTTGGGATAGAACCCTTCATCTGATTGCTTGTGAGATCCTTGTCATCCTCTATTGTGAAGGGATGTGAAGATAAAAAGGTTTTGGAACTCCACAGTGGCCATGTCTACATGAGACACTGATTACACAGATGTTACTGCACATTCATTTAGTACTTGTATAAACAGTAGTGTCACCAAACAGCTTTTTCGTGATGCTGACTGTGCAGTAGCCCGAGACTACCATGCAGTAGCGTTGCATCATGTGGCAGGAAGCATGACATGATACGACTACATGGTAGTCTCAGGCTACTGCACAGTCAGTGTCACAAAAAAGCCATTTGGCAACGCTACTACGTAGTAACTCTGGTCAGCGTCTCATATAGACACGGCCAGTATTCCCTATTCTGGGCTAGTCCTTTATATTCATATTTATGTCCATATCCTTTATATTCATATTTGTCCATAAAAATAATGCTAAAAGTGAAGTGGACATGTGACATACAGCCTTACACCAATATTAGCCAGTCCATTCCTGTGTAAAGTTGCCCTTCGTAAAGTGAGGAGTAACCGTACAATGGGTAACTGAAAACAGTGCATTGGGCACATGTCTGCTCCCATAGTTGATTTCATCCCCAGAATTTGCTCAATAAAAAACAGATACCCAGGTACCTAGTGGCCAGACACTGTAATTTTGCCTACGATAAACAGCCAGCTTGTAAGGGCTGTGTTCACTATGCAGTAAAATCTGGGGTATATCATGGGGTAAATCATGTTGTATGGCCACTGTCTTAGAAAGGATAAAAACACATGTTGGATTTCTCCCAGGAAAAAGCCTTCTGTCTTGGGATTCTACAGATGTACAAGCCCATTGTCCCACTTTAGATACCTGTGAGGTATACAAGACAAAATGAGCTAACACTTTTTCTTGGGACAATCATGGCTCATTTAAGTCAAACTGCCTTTCATTTTGGGGACAAGCTTCCTGTGTAAAGGACCATGCTGCTCTTTTTCTTCCCAAGTTTTGACTGGCATCAACCAGAACTGCCTGAAATGCAAGGTTTGCTTTTAGCCAAAGACACCCATCCGAATTAAAGATTCCAAGTGACGGAGGGTAAACGCGTGGCTCTGCTGAAGTCAACAACAAAACTGATTTCAATAGAACCAGAATTTTACCCAGATAATTCATTCCCTCCTTCGTGTAAGCTGATCCCATTACCCTCATTGTTAAAACCATGGATTTTATTTCCAGTCGGACTTTACTGTCTGTACCTTTCAGTCCCTAGATTATTATTGGGTTTACTTTCAAGATTAAAGAGCCCCCTACTCCCCAATGTCTTCCTCCACAAATACTTCAAAAGGTTCTAATTCTAGGTTAAATACAGAAGCCAGGCTTTGCAAATGAATTTTGAATGTGGCCAATGAGTTCTTCCATCCTTACATAAAACCCTTGGCATGAAACCCTGACATTCAGATGCTAGCAAGGTCACAGGAAAAGTAAAGTGATGTTTTAAATTGGTTTTATTTTTTTACCACCTTTAAACTCTTTCACTGACCTTTCCCCAAATCCCTACATTAGCATTCTACAAGGAAGTGCTATGCTACATTAAAAGCTGAGTGGCTAGCTGAATGCACCTATAACAAAATTTGCTACTTTCCATAGGCCGAGACTCATTGAAAGCACCAGATCCCTTTCTATTGTCTCCTATGGGCCTTTGGATTAATACTTATTACTTACCTATTTTATTGAGCACAAACGAAGAATATAGTCACTATTGGTTATCTGAGTAGTAAGTAAAGGGGTTGGGCTGGCACACTTTTAATGGCTCCCTTTATAAAAAACAAGCCAGATATATAAAAAAAAAAATCACCATGTCTGCTTTTTTACTAGGATGGGCCTAATGATATAGAAAGCCAGGAGTTGGAGTAAATTTGTTCACAGAGCATGCATGCATGTATGCATGGTATCTCACATTTATTCTGGCTGTTGATTTATTCAAAAGGTAAAAAATGGTGCATACAGGTTGCTTTCCCCAGGGTGAGATCAGGAAAAAGAACAGTGAGGAGACAGAACATCTACTGCACAGCCAAAGAGCATTCTCACTGTTCTCTCTTGTTCTTATCTCCTTCTCAGGTTACTGTATTTTCTGTCCCACTCATGCCATCGCAGGAGCGCTGAAGAGTGGTGAGATAATACTTGGCTCAAATCCAGGCAATCATTTTTGAGTAATTAGTTTAGATACTGCACACCCAACCTGTACTTTTTTCAGGTAGGTATCAAGTGGGTCAGGTTACCCGATTACCTGTCTGTATTTGGATGGCTGTGCTGCAGGGTTCAGTAAAAGCTCGTCTCCAGCTGTGGACAGAGAACATAATTGAACATGTAGGTTTCTTCTGGGAAATCTGTTTTTGCTACAACTCTGTTGTTTCCCTCTGCCAGCTCTGCTATAGGTGGGACGTTTGTTATTTTTCCACTCCCTTACATGATCAACCATGACTTGAACAATTCCAGTCCAGGAGCAAAATATGCAATACACTCATCTCAAAAGCTAACAATAATTCTAAGGCTACAAATGTTTTCTTTAGTCATTTGTTTATTTGCAAAAAAGCAAAACAAAACCAAAAAAACCCAGGTACAGAAAGGGATAAACTGAAAAGCACAAACAATCTAATGCATTTTTCAGATGGCCAATTAGGTTTTCAAAGGCACAAATGGTAATTAGGTACCTACTTCCCTTTGATATTTGTGCTTTGGAAAAATCTCCCTCTCTTAAAGTGAGATCCTTGAATAGCAAGCACTGTGCAAGTACAAAGCATAATTATTACTACAATATGCTATTCACAAGCAAGGGCCTTGACATGATCAAGTTTTCTTTGCACTGATATGCCCTTTCCCAGCACTTCCTGTCTTGATTTTACCACTGCCCTGGTATCACTCTTTCCCACTCACTCATCTGGCCCATTGCCACTATGAAATTAATTCCTCAGTCAACAGCACAGGCATCACCTTACTCACTCTTCCCCACTCGTATGCCTCATCCTTGACCTGGAGAAACCACCTCTTTCCCACTCACCCATCTGGCCCATTGCCACTATGAAATTAATTCCTCAGTCAACAGCACAGGCATCACCTTACTCACTCTTCCCCACTCGTATGCCTCATCCTTGACCTGGAGAAACCACTTCTAACAGGTGGAAGGAGTGTGTAGTCATGTTGATTCTCTCCTTGGTTTTTCTGCTTAGACAGCAAACAAGGCTACTGCTAGGTGCCAATTATAAAGGTAGCTTTTGTGATAAGTATATGTATTCACCAGGAATTGGGCTGAAGTCACTCACTGTTTCACAAAGACCACAGAACAGCTGCTAGATGCTTGAGACTTTTAGCCAGTACTAACCTGGATTGGATTCAGATGGGCAACCTCAAGGTGAGTGGCTTCAGTATCCCATTACCAATTCCCTTGAGCCACCCAGTCTCTTGTAGTGAATGATCCAACTTAGGGGAGATACTTTAGGTCTAGGTTTGTTTGTTTTCACATTTAGAGGCTGGTCCAGAAAGGCCTGTTAGTGCCAGATGCCCACTGACATTCAGTTGAATGTAAATAGACATTCTCAGACAAATTCAACGCAGGCAGTAATGTTGGATTTGCAGTTTGTATTGCTGGAAATGACAGAAAATACCAGTTACTCGTTTTCATTTCACCTAACTGATTAGCATTGCAATCAGTGCACAGAAGGATTTGAAAAACATCAGCTACTCAGAAGCATAGAGCAGCCCTAACCCCAAATTTCAAACAACAATTTGAGACAACAATTGAAATGGAATTACATACAAAAAATAATTTCAAGGCAAAAACAATCTAATATGTTTGCAATTATAACATGATTCATATTTGGGATATGAGGTATAAGTCACTCAGCAGAAAAGTAAACTGTGCTAATGCCATACCAATCAATAGGAATGTTAAGGATTTCAACACTACTTGATTTCTCCTGAATAAGGCTAGATTTCAAACTGGCATAAATTGGTGTAGTTCCCTTTGAAGTCAATGGAACAATGGTGATTAACAACAGCTGAAGTTCTTGCCCAGCCTTGATTCATCACTTTTCTTAATTGAATTGTAACTTCATGAAACCTAAATATTTGAATGTTCAAAAGACAAGAATTAAATCCCAAAAATCACGAGATTATTTTTAAACTAATGAGAATTCTTTAAAAAAAAATTGTTTTTTTCAATTTGCCCTTTTTTTTCTTTATAGCCCTTAGGAGGCTCTTAAACCACATTTACAATCTTTTCTCAACATGCAAAGTCTAGAAACTTACCTTATCCCCTGCCCAAAGTAATCTGAGATTTTCATGTAATCACTGGACTCCCTGAGTAAGGATTTAGGAGAAAAGAAAAAAACCAAGAAACATCATGAGACTGAGGATAATATTGAGACAGTTAACTCTGAACTCTGTCTCAAGGTCCAGAGATCTTTGACAGCTGTCTTGACATTCATTTATAAGAGATCATAAGGCTTAATTCTAGTCTGACATGCCTTCTGCAAACTCATTGGTGAGCTGCAAGTCCAGGCAGAATCAGCCTTTTTTGCATTAAGAAAACTGAAAAAATGTAATTTTCAACAGGGAACAAAGCGAACACCTACAACCCCTATAGCCTGGCACAATGTGTCAGGGCAAAATATTCCTGTCCTCCTTGGATTAGGAATTTTCTAACTTCATCTTTTGATTGACATGATTCGGCTGTACAAGGAGATAGCCAACTTACTCTAATGTCAGGAAGCTGAAGCTTTCACAGGACATGGAGCCAGAAACCAATTTGAAGGAAATGAAAGAGGAGAGTGTGTTTTCTTAGTACTCATTTAATCTTTTTCTTCGGGTTCTCGGTTGTGCTGGCTGTCAGTGTAATCAGAGCAAAGTGGAGAGGAAGAGAGAAGAAGAAAAAGGAAGGGAAAGAAGGAGAAGAAAGGAGGAGATTCCAGACAGACAGCAGAACCTAAGAAGAAAGCATAACTTGATCGGTGGAATATCAAGACCATTAAAAGGAAGAGAAGGTTATTAACACCGTGGAATTAAGAGTTTAGAAGGGATCGGGTACATTATAATGAGCCATGAAGTCAAATGACTCCCTCAGCACTCCCAGGCAGTTGGCTTTAAACTTTGAATGGAACAGGAATCTAGATCCACCCCTGATGCCACCACCAAGTTGTATTGGAAGCAAAACAGAAATGAGTTTTGATCAAAGTGGTCACCTGCAGAATAGTAAAAAGATAAAAGCTTCTTAGTTGGTAAAGGGTGTTGCTGTACCTGAAGTACAGCAACACCCTGAAGTACAGCACTTTAGTGCTGTACCTAAAGTGAAAGAATGAAACTTTAGGAGAAGATTGCACAACTTAATGGGAAAAAACTATGTTTAAATGCACTGAGATATGACAAAATATATCACTTTGTCATCTAACCAGGTAGACAAAATAGTGCAGCCAGCTACATTGACAAATTGTTAGAAAACAAAGCCAGGATTTGCAGCCTGAACAAATGGAGTTATCAGTGGACTATCCAAACCTGACCAGTGACATTATGAATAGCAGGAATAGAACTATCTTCTTTCTTCTTCTTTATGGAGCATTAGCAATTGGCCTAGACTATGGAAAAGAAATAGTTCTTGCCAAAGAAGATAAAATGACAAACAATAGTTATTAATTCAGTCACCTAAGGCTTGTTAAAATCAATGGGAATTTTTCCACAACCTTAATGGTCTCGGGATCATGTCCCTAATGACCACTCAAGAAATTGCAAAGTGTACATCTTAATCATACAGCTGCTCCATCCAAAAGAATTAGAATTTGTAACAAGTTTATCTACATATAAAATGGCTGACTACGTGTACAATTTTGCCATCCTGCTACAAGAAAACAAAAAGGGATGTAAAAACAATCAGATAGTCAGTATAACAAACCATTCATTTCAACACCCTGTAAAGATATTTCTTAACCATCTAAGATGAGTATTGAAGAGGCTCTGTCATAATAAGCTAGCTGTAAAAAAAAATCACTTGAGAAAAAATGATTTCACATCCTGAAAAATGCAAAACAAATAGCTGGCTACTGAGAAAAAGAACAATGCATTAGTTTAATCTCTCTACTGCCTCTAATAAAAATTAGTACTAGATACAAGTATCCATCAGATTGAATGTAAATAGTGTGTAAAACCAAACTGAAGCTGATCAGCAAGTTAAACAAATGGTTTGGGGCAGACAAGGTTCTTTGGGTAAAAGTGATATATTTTATTAGACCAGCTAAATAGTTGGAAAATGTGTTCTATGCAAAAAGTTTGGGGCACAAATACCCTTCTTCAGGCATAGGAAGAGTCTGCTGTTGTGTTTCTCCTGGATGGAACAGAAGCCAATATGCAAAATACAGGTCTGTGAAAATGCAAATGCCTGGCAGGCAGGATCAGAGACAATGGGAGACAATAGGTGTGAGGAAGGGAGGAATGTTGATCTGGTGATAGAATGTTGCTGGTAAAATGTTGAGATGTTACTTGGGGTTACAAAAAGACTACCAAAGATTTTTTACAACATCCATTCAGCATAAAAAGAAGAAATGGAACCAATTACTACAGGAATGACTTTCCCAGCCACAAAACAACCATCAGAGAAACAACACCAATGCCTGACAACATTCCAACCTCATACTGGATGAAACTGAAAGATCCAATCAAACCTCAAATAATATCAATCCCTCCATGCACACACTTACCACAGCTGAAAAATCTGTCCTTTCTAAAGGCCCTCATTTTTGTCTAGAAAATACCTTAATAATATACTACAATGTGGAGAACTAGAAGAATTTTTCCAATGTCTCCATCTCAAGGAATATTTCCACAACCAAAATTAATCAACTTCCAATAAGACTTTATCTTTTGACACATTGGTGACATGTAGGGGGTGCACGCGGGTGCATGTGCACCCCTTGAGATCAGCTGTGTACCCCCTGGAAATGCCAGATGTGAAACCAGAAGTGCACTTCCAGTTTCACCACTGGCTCAGCAATTGGCCACTAGGGGGATCTTCCCTCCCCCATCGACAATCTGGTGCCCTCCCAGATTTGGGAGGCACCTGTCACCCATGTTTTGACAACGTTGAGGAAAAAATAAACCCACAAAAATTTAAAAAAAAATCAGATTGGACAACTCACGGTGGACCAAATTCAAACCTTAACCACTATGTTGACTGCTTCACATTTACCCAAAGAAGCTTGTCTGTCTATGTCCTTAGACTAACACAGCTACAAGCAACACCCCTGACAAATGGTTTTGTGCATTTGTTTCCCTCGGTTGTACTTTACTTGTGTTCAAGACTCCGACTCTAGCTTAATAATTGGAGTTGCAAAGCACAAACTAAAATTCATTCACATCATAGAAACACAGGATAAAAGTCTGGTCATATTGAAGTTAATGGAACTTTTGCCATTGACTCCAACAGGAATTTCAACTATACAGATGTATAATCTCATCTGAATTTTTGCATGTATGCCAGAGAATTTCACTGAACAATTCCTGTACCAAGTCTGTCAAGAGTTCACCCTTTGACACATTTTTCTTTAAAAAAAAAAATCAAGCTTCATGGTTTCAGGTTTCATAACATGAGAACTGTTTTAATTTTTGTTTCATGCACCATCAGTAATTGGCAAAATGGCATAAACATTTATTACCAAGTTGGAAAAAACTGCAGAACCCTATAGTTTAAACTACCATATTTACTCAAATCTAAGATAACCCTGGATTTAAGACAACCCTCCAAAACTTAGATTCTATATGGAAAATTTATAATTTTACAATAATTTTCCAGGTATTGAATCCAATTATTGGAGGGTTGTTTTAAATTCATTCCTCTGAACTGCTACAGCAGGGAAAGTAATGGCTGGAGGGAGGGAAGGAGGTCAGGTGGTTGTGGGGGGTCAGGCAGCCCTCTTGTCTTTTGTCTTCTCACTTCTTCTCCCTGTAGCCTCCCTGCCCTCCTGTCACCTGCCCCACACCCCGAGCTCCCCACAGACCCCCCACAGACTCTGCCCCTTCCCCCCACTCCTGACAATCTCTCTGCTTTTTCCCTCTGCTTCTTACAATTTCTGGCCCTCACCCACCCCCCACTTCCCACAGTCTCTGTCCCTTCCCCCCACCACACACCTTCCCAAAGTCTATGCCTCCCCCTGCTGCTGCTTCCCCCCCACCCCCACCTTCCTTACTGTCAGGTGCTGCTCAGAAGTATAGCACATTAAAGTGTAGCCCTTTCTGGGCCATGCAGCTGCAATGGCACTGCAGATTGGCCAGGCAGGGCACAGAGTTTCTTTGTGCTCCATGCCTGGGGGGGAATCTATAACCTGTGCCTGACAATAAAGGGGAGGAAGGGGGCAGGGGAGGCAGAAACTGCAGAGTACAAGCAGAACAGGGCAGGAGGCTGCTGTAGGTCTGACTCTGGCTCTGACCCAGGCTGAGGGCCAGAGTCAGAGCCACAGCAGTTATCTGCCCCTTCCTCTGCTTTGTACACAAATCTAAGACAAGGGACTTTTTTTC